TGACCCAATTATCATTCAGTAGTGGGTTGTTTAGTTCCCATGAGTTTATGAACTTTCTGTAGTTATTGCTATCCAGATTTATTCCACTGTGGTTAGATAGAATGAAGGATGATATTTCTGTTTCCTACTTTTATTAAAGTTTGCCTTTTGTCTTAATATGTGTTTAACTTCAAAGAAAATTCCATGACCTGCTGAAAACACTTTGTATTTAGTGTTTGGGTGGGATGTTCTGTAGAAGTCTGTTAGATCCAGTTGATGTCTGATATAAATTAACTCCAGAGTGTCTTTGTTTATTTTCTTGTACAGAGGACCTCTGTATAGGTGAGGCTGGAGTACTGAAGTCACCCACTATCAATATGCTGGAGTTATCTGTGCTTTTAAATCTATTAGTGCTGTTTGTATGGAATTGGGTGCACCCGTGTTTAGTGTGTACATTTTTCAGGTTGTAATAATCCCTCATTGATTACACCTTCAGTGAATACGAAATGAGCCTTCTTATCTCTTCTGATTAATTTTGGTTTGAAGTGCATTTTTTATTTTTAAGTTTAAATTTAGATTAGAAACAAGGTTGCTTCACAAGTCAGTTCCAGGTCCCTCTCCATTTCCCTCCCCTCCTCCCGTGCCCTCCCCCACCTCCCCATTATCCCCTTATTTCCCCAGGGAGGGTGAGGCCCTCCATGGGGGTGTCCATAGTCTGTCATTTCATATAGGGCAGGGCCTAGACCCTCCCCCAAGAGTTCAGGGTGAGAGTGCATCTCACATTGTTGGATGGGAGTCCAGAGACCATGTGTATACTTGGGATGGGTACTGATCTGCTGCCCAAGGTTCAATAGATTACCTAGGCCTCCTCACTGACACCCACATTCAGGGGGTCTTGATCCAGTCCCATGCTGGATTCCCAGGCATCAGCCTGGCATTCAAGAGCTAACCCTTGTCAGGTCAGCTGTTTCTGGGGTTAAACCAGCCCAGTCTTAATCCCTTTGGTCATCAGTCCTCCCTCTCTGTCACTGGCTTTCTTGAGTTCAGCTCAGTGCTTAGCCATGGGAGTCTGCCTCTTCTTGAAGTGCATCTTAGTTAGGGACTCTATCGCTGTGAAGAGACACCATGACCATGGCAACTGTTATAAAGGAAAAACATTTAATAGTGGTGCCTTACGTTTTCAGAGGTTTAGTCCTTTATCACCATGGTGCGACATGGTGGCATGTAAGCAGACATAGTGCTGGAGAAGGAACCGAGAGTCCTACATCTTGATGAGCAGGTAACAGGAAGTGAAGTAGGATACTAGGCATGGGCTAGAGCGCATATGACACCCCAAAGCACATGGCACAGTGACACACTTCCTTCAACAAGGCCATACCTATTGCAACAAAGTCACACCTCCCAATAGTGACACCCCCTATGAGCTTATGGGGGCCAATTCCACCTAAACTGCCACAAAGTATACTTTGTAAAATATTAGAATAGCCACGCATGCTGTTTCTTGGTTTCATTAACTCAGAATAATTTTTTCCCATCACTTTAACCTTAAAGTTGTGTCTGTCATTTAGGGTGAGATAAATTTCCTGGTGGTAAAAAAAAATGGATCCTGTTCTCTATTGCAGTCTGTTACTCTGTCACTTTATTGGGGTAATTGAGATTATTAATATTAAGATTTATTATTGAATGATGTCTCTTAATTCTTCTCATCTTTTTGTTTTGTGTTGTTTTCTTGGAGTTTTTTTCATTGATTCTTCTGGAACCATTAATTTAATCTTGTGCCTTTTTGGGTGTGTTTATAAAATGTATTCTTGTGCCTTTTTTGGGTGTGTTTATCCTCTTCTTCAGACTCAGGTATCTCCTCCAGTGTCCTTTACACAGATGGCTCAGTAGCCATAGTTTCTTTATTCTGTTGTTATCATGAAACTTTTTTTAAATTTTGCCTTCAATTTTAATAGTTTTGCTGAACAAATAGTCTGAGTTCATAACTGGTCTCTCAGAACTTGGAATACATACTTCAGGCTCTTATGGCTTTATGCTTTTTTGTCTAATAATCAGCTGTTACTCTGGTGATTATTAATCAGGTTAATAATCAAGTGTTATCCTGCCTTTATAAAGTGAGTTGACTTGTCTCTCTTGACGCCTTTAATACCCCTTCTTTACTCTTCATTTCTATTGTTTTAACTACAATATGTCTTGTACCTAGATGGGCATTTCTCTTTCTAACCTTGGAACAATTTCTTCTATGATTTTTATTGAAAATATTCTCTATACCATCACCATGGCATTCTTCTTCTCTGTCCATCTGAAATGCAGATCTTGGTGTGGTATCTCAGATCTCTGCCACTTCATATTCATATTTCTTTTAAAGATTATTATACACCTTTATTAAGTGAGGCATTTCCTCCTATTTCGCTTCCATTCCAGAGGAACTGATGTCTACATGATCCACTCTGCTGGTGAGGAGTTCCTCTGCAGTTTGTATTCGGCTTACTGAGCTTTTAATTTCTATCATCCTTCCAGTTTGGCTTTCCTTCAGCAAGTCTAACTATTTTCATATTGTAGGCCGACTGTCTTATTTCCTTCCATTCCCCTTCTCACGCATGATTTCACAGTGATTTGTGGAGGGTATAGGCTGTTATTATTTTTCATGATGTTTCTTATCCTGGCCTGGGATTGCAAACCCAACGTTAGTTCATTCGTTGAGTTTTTCTTTCATGTTTTAATTTGAGAAATTCAAGTCCTCCTTTTGCCTTTGGTGGTGGCTTTTACAGCGTTTGCGGGGGCGGCGCGGGGGGGGGAGCACCAGTAGGGCTGGTGTGTTGTTTCTCTGTGCGGAACTGGTGTTCAGGGCTGGAGTCTCTGGTGTCTTCCACTGAGCAGCAGGCAGGTACAGCCCTGCCAGCTGGGGTCTCTCACCTATGCCTGCAGCTTTTGTTTTGAGTTATGGAATTTGCCAACGCCTATGGGCCTTAATGAGAATCACACCTGTCCCCTCCCTGGGTCTGCAGCTTCCTCTGAAGCAAGATGTAGAGCCTCTCCTTTTTTGTGGGGGGGAGTTAGGGCGAGTGTCTTTTCACTGAAAGACTATTACCGTTTCAATCGGCTGCTTGCCATAGACCTGTTTAAATTATTTATAACCTCTCGATGAGAAGAACTAGATTTTCCATTTGTTTTTCAAGAAATGTAAGTATATGCTAATGATCCTGTAGTTAGTTTTCATTGCTGTCCGTAGTGAAAGTAATAAAATGCTTAATTTTAATAATTTGGGTCTCCTTTGTCTTTTGGTTAATTTGTTTTTGTTTTTGGCTAGTTGTTTTATTGAGTCTTTGTGTTTTACTTTTCGTCTTCATTTTATTATTCTGACTGGTCTTCATTATTTCTTACTGCCTACTGCCTTAAGTTTGGCTTACTTTTTATACTACTTTGAAGTGCATTATACATGATTTCCTTGTGATATGATTTTTGTTTTGCTTTATACCTGAAACAGGTTCTCACTGTGTATATAACACAGGTTCACACTGATGTCAACCCTGCTGACCCAGCCTTTCCACTCCTAGGATTACAGGCACAGACCCCCATCCTCTGCAGGGCACCTGATTTTTTTTTATTTTTATGAATTTTATTCAAATTAGAAACAATATTATTTTACATATCAATCCCAGTTCCTCCTCCCTTCCATCCTCGCTTGCCCCCACCGACCCCCCATCCCATCCCCCATCCACTCCTCAGGGAGGGTGAGGCCTTCCATGGGGGATCATCAAAATCTGTCAAGTCATTTGGGGCAGGGCCTAGGCCTTCCCCTGTGTATTGAGGCTAAGAGAGTATCCCTCTATGGGAAATTGGCTCCCAAGGTCCATTCATGCACTAGGAATACATCCTGATTCCAATGCCAGAGGCCCCATAGATTGCCCAGGGCTCCTAGCTGACACACATGTTCAGGGGGCCTGGTTTGATTCTATGTTGGTTTGCTAGCTGTCAGACTGAGGTCCATGAATTCCTGCTGGCTCAGGTCAGCTGTTTCTGTGGGTTGTCCCAGCGTGGACTTGACCCCTTTGCTCATCACTCCTCCCTCTCTGAAACTGGATTCCAGGAGTTTGGCTCAGTGCTTAGCTGCGAATCTTTGCTTCTGTTTCCATCAGCTACTGGATGAAGACTCTAGGATGGCATTTAAGGTAGTCATCACTCTCATTATAAGGGAAGGGAATTTAAGGTAGCCTCTCCACTATTGATTAGATTCCTAGTTGGAGTCATCCTTGTAGATCTCTGTACAATTCCCTAGTGCCAGATTTCTCTTTAAATCTATAGTGACTCCCTCTATTAATGGGGACACCAGATTTTTAGTGGAGACAGTCATAGCTATAAACTTTCCTCTTATGATTCCCTCCAATTTATCATTTTAGAAAAGTTCTCATACATAGTATTTTCATTTAAATTTAATTTTAAGAAGTTTTTAATTTCCTTTTTGATTTTTTCAATGATACACGTATCACCAAACAGTATATATATATATTACTCAATTTGTAAACAGTCTCACAGTTTCTGAAAACACACATATACCGGTACACAACACACAAACACTGAAAAAATATACAAAAGTATAAAGACACACAGACACACAAACATACACAAACACAAATCCACACAGAAAACATGCAATACTTATTGCATTCACAAACCTGATGAATGACTAGCTTCAACCAGCTTTATGAAGGTTTGAGTTTATATTCGATGAAAAAGATGTTCAAAGGGGGTATTCTAATTTCTTACATGTATATTTCTTGCTCTGGAAAAAATGAAACAGATTCTGGGTGTATTGTGAGTCCATCATCCATTCCAAGGATGTTGGGAGGGGTGGTGGCCATTGAGTCTCAGGGCGGTGATGGTCTCAGACTCATACTATCAGCCTCAGTCTCACAAGAAAATGTCCGGTCAGTCAGTTATGTCCGAATAGAAGGAACCATTTGAGATGCTCTGTGTACTGATTTACAAGAACTTATACTGTTGGTTTTGTTATGCAACAGGTGCTTCAGAAGAATTTGTGACAGCACTATGTCCATCCAGAGATAAGGTAAATAGATCAAAATGAACTATAGGCATCCATTCATCCACAAAACCTGGTAGCCCACCTGCCCGTTCTACATTAACAGATGCCCAAGACACCGATAAATAGTGTTGCTCTATTTAGACATCAGGACTGAAAATCGCTGCCACTAGGTGGTGCTGCCAGCACACACAGGGAGGGAAAAGTGGGCCAGCTTCAGGAGCTGGCTGCTGAGCAACCATCACTGTAGCCTAGATCACTGAAGAACTTTCAAGAGAAATAAGATGCTGGAATTCTGCAGAGTAACCTCCAGGAGCCCCGGCCCCCAATGGTGTGTGGCCAGACCGTGCCTGTTTCCCAGGCAGTGGCAACACCAGAGCTCTGGGCCAGGGTCAAAGGTTGCTGAAAAGTCTTTTCCTCCCTTCAGGTAGAGAAAAAAAGAAAAATGTGGCTCAAGAATTTAACTGATTAAGGATATGACTAGGGCCTCTGGTAGTTGGAAATTGACGAGCCTATGTCATGCATAGCTCTGTCTGCATTCCATCCATGCCTCCTGCGCCTGAGATGACTTATAAATGTCAGCTAAGTGATCAGAGGAATAGTAGCAATGAGATTTTGAAATTTGCCTGGAAATGGCTAGGCATGGCCCTGATGCTGATCAGGAGACATGTTAGGGTTCACCATGCATCATGTTTCTTAAAAAAAAACTTTGAGTCTCGAATTCTTTGTGTTTTTGGCTGGTTTTCCTAGATGCAGTGAAACCAATCTTCCATCAAATTTAAAAATTAAAGATGGGGCTAGAGAGATGGCTCAGTGTCTGGCAGAGAGCCCCCACGTTCAGTTCATAGCGTCCACATCGAGGAGCAGCTAACAACTTCATGTGCCCTCTGCTGCCTGCGAGAGTACTTGCACGCAAGAGCCCATACCCATGCCCCCACATATTGTAACAGAGTGAAATAAAGCCGTAAATATTTTAAAACTGAAGTTAAGTAAAGCCAGAGGTTCTGCTCTCCAGCATTATTTGCTACGTTTCAACCAGCCAGTCCCTAGATGTAAACAGTAGCTTCCACACTGGGCAGAGCATTCGAGGGAACTGATGTCCCTCCACAGAGATCCACTGGAAATTCAGGCAGATTTGAGAATCAAGCCCTGATCATGGCCATACACACCTATCACAGACAGCAGTCCCAGAGGCTTTGTGCTGGTCCTATGAGGACACGGAAGCCTAATCACTTGAGGATCAAGGGGGCGTTTCAAGGCTTTAGTGGAGTCTTACAAGTATTTGAGGAACATTAAAGCTTCGATGCTGAACTCTGTTAACATGAGAGGGTTTTCTAAAGCATTTTAAACCTGTCTGTGGTCAGTAAACCATGAATACACTCACAGGAAAATCATGCATGGCTGATTTCTATTATCGAAGCTGGGTTTTGTTTTGTTTTGTTTTGTTTTTAACCAGTTGGCTTCTCCCACAGTACCCCACACAGTGTAAGGCCAACCAGTAATGGTGGATTGTTTCTGACTGACAGCATTCAAACATAGGAAGAAAACAGGGCAAGAGGCAATGCCCTTTGGGGTGGGCATCCTGGAGTAGGCTGCCTGTTACTGGGCCCAAGAGAAGACATGACCTTGGGTAGGTAAGAGGAGGCTGATCATAGGCGTACAGAACCTTGCACCTTTGAGGTGTATGCAGGCTGGGCTGGTGAGTGAGAGCATCAACCCACCCTGGGGTTGGAGCAAGGAACCCACTGCTTTGTGGAGACAATGACCTGCAGGGTTAGCATCCCAAGGGGGCGGTTACGGGGGAAGATGCATCCAGACGAGAGGCGAAGACAGACTCCAGGGGCATGGAAAAAACGGCGCCGTGTCTGTCTGCACTTTGGGGAGCTGACAGGACTTGTTGAAGATGTGAAGCAGTCAGTGTCTCAGAGGTGTCAAAAACTAATGCTGGCTTCAAAAACGTTGGCATTCCCCAAGGTAGTGCCTGGAAGGAGGGAAGGGAGGGAAGCAGGGACATTTGGAAGCTGCCAGGCTTTCACAAGTGAGCGACGGAGATGAGTTCTCTTCTCAATTTTGCATAGGTTGTCTGTGACACAGCTAAACGAAGCTGTCTTGCAAAGGGAAAAACACATCCCAAATAGACATTTGTGTTTACTTCACAGAGAGTCTTCACTGGAAGACCTTCTCCTGGATACTGACCTGAGGGGACTGAACCCCAGCAGTATGTGTGTGTGTGTGTGTGTGTGTGTGTGTGTGTGTGTGTCATAGACCCTTTAGGTAGATGCATGTGATACGTGACAAGTGCTAGCCTTTCCCAGAAAGACCGAGCTGTGACAAATCTCGGGAGTATACCTGTGTCCACCGTATGCCATCAGCCCAAAGTAAACAATCTCTTCTGTCCAACTAGGGGAGCTAAAATGCCCAGAATACTGGAAGGCAGCCCCTGTGTTCACCTTCCTAAATCTGTGCTTTGGTGGTATGCAACCGAACTTGAGAACACGATCACCGAGGATGATTAGGGCAGGCTCTGGCTGAGGGTGAGCATATATGGATAGGCAAGCGTATGAGTGTGTGTGTATTATAGGGCACGCAGGAAAGCTAGTGTTGTGGTGTAGGAGCACTTGTGGTGCATGGTAGATGCTGTGTGTGGATGTGTGGATCTGAGTACGGGTGTGTGTGTGTTTGAGTGTGTAATGTGTGAGGCATATATTAAGCAGTCTGTGTGTACGTGTTGTATATGAGTGCTTGAAATGAGTGTAGGGCATGCCATGCACTGTTGTACACGAGTGTGTGAATAAGGAAATGCCTGTGGATGTGTGGTATGGCACGGCTGATGACCATGTGTAGATATGTATAGACTCTGTACATGTGTGTGCACACATGCGTGCCCGTGCATGCCCGTGCTCTGCGGGAATGAGCTTGCATCTCCTGAGACATATATCGTTTTAGGCTGATCTGCCTAAATAAATATAAAATAAAATACCAGTTCACTGGAACGCTGGTTTATCCGACTCTCTACCCGGTTCTTGTTGCCGCAGCCCTTCACAGGCTTTCCCGGCTCCCTGCTCCATCCACTTAGTCACATGAGAGTCTTCCCTTGAGTGTGTCTGGGGGCTGTCCGCCTGCTCAGCTGTCAGGTCCCGGTGACAGAGGGCTTGCTGTGGATACAGTTGTGAATGAAGGGAGACACCAGTGCTGAAATGAACAATGGCATGATGGGAAAGCTACCACGGTGTTCCGGACGTAGGGACCACCGTGTCCAGAAGTAATACAACCACAGGAGTCAGTATGACGTTACATTAGTGTTTCCTTGAGGGTGTTTCTGGGGAAAGATTCAAGGAATAGTCAGAAATGGGACCGAATGTGGAGATTGGAGACACCCCAGGGAGTCCCGTGTGCAGGGAAAAATTGCTTGGTTTGGCCCTTGAGGGAACCATAGACCGTAAAGGCTCCTCCTAAGCCGTGCAGGTCCTCATGCCCAACTCTTTCCCCACAGAACTCTGTGGCGTAGAGCTGCAAGAGGTCATGAGGACGGAGGGAAGCAGAATGGGGAACTCCTACTCCAGACAGCCACATGCAGGTTCTCTGAGTCTGTGTGGCCTGGTTTCTTTCGACTTTGTCAAGGCCCCCGTAATCTGCAGGCGCACGTATTATGCAACAGTACGTGCCGCTGGGAAAAGACAGCGAAACGAAAAGCTGCCTGGGAGTGATCCGTGGGTAACCTTTACTCACACGTCTCTCTGAACATTTGAACGCTTTCGCTTCCTTTTTGCGGTGCTGTGGATGGAACCTAGGGCCGTAGGTAGGCATGCTCCGCCCTGGAGTCTCCCCAGCCCTTAATACTGTTCTCCTGGCAGAGATGCTAAGGGGAGTGTTTGGAACGTACATCTCTCCCAGCAGCCGAGGTCTCATCACCAAACAGGCAGCACCAGCCCTTGTTCTCCGTTCTCAGCCATAAGATCAGGATGGCATCGGACTCTAAGTGTGACGGTGCCGGTGGGGCGCGAGAGGAACCCCCGGATTTGGCATGGCTACAAGCCTTACCTCATGTGCGTCCCTTGCCACCTGTCAGGGATGCTAGCCTAGTCAAAGGATATCTTGCTTAAACCAGGTTTCCCCTTCGTTTACTCAACTCAAATCCTTGGATCTTGTCACTGTAGGCTGCTTAAACCTGTGTCTTCCTGGGTTCTCACATCACTAGGACCATTTCTTACTCTTTCTGTACCTTTCTGCATGCTGGGTCTGGCCTCTGTGTGTGCCATTCTTCCCTACAAGATCCCTGAGCATTTATTTTTTTTTTTTCACCATCATGTAGTGAACTGATCTTTGATTTGGACTTTATCAAAGCCCCAGTTACCAGATCTGGCCACTCCTTTTTTTTTCCTTTCTAGTCTCAATACGGATTTCTCTAACCACCACTTATGTCTGAATGTGTCTAACTTCGGCTGCCACCAGCATGCTCAGAAAACAACCTAAGCTCCAGGTGATGTCCAGTGGATTGTAGGTTACTCCCCACACGTTCTCTGTAGACTCCTCTGAACAGCCTAGAGTCCCTGCCATGTCCTAGCTGCTGGCTGAGACTTACATTAACCAGCCAGTTCCATGTCTCTCGGCCTTTGCATTATTTTTTCTGCCACGGGACATGCGGCTCTCTCTTCTTTCTGCCGTCTACCGGCGGACACTCTTACTCATGGCTTGCATCCATCGACATCTGTTACCCATTTCGGTTTTGGAGAGTCTGATAACCTCTCTCAGATTCTTTCTGAACCTATATGCCTCACCAGTGGGCAAGATCATGGATTCCTTACAAAATCCTTGACATGTTTACGGCTTACAGATAGCCAGCTGACTTAACTTTTTATCCCACTCTTATTCATATCCAGGGTCTAAAACTATTCTACTTGAGTTGAAATCTCAGTCGGCCACAGCTATCTTAATTTCTACTCTATGGCTGTGATAAAATACCGTAACAAAAACTACTTTAGGGAGGAGTTTATGAAGGTTGCAGCTCTAGGTTGCAGCTGGCTATGGGTGGGAAGTCACAGCATTAGACTCGAAGCAGTGGGACCATTTTTTTGTGTAGCCGGAGTATAACATTAATGCATGCATGTGTGCTAAAGCTCAGCCCCCATCCTCCACCATTGTGCATAGCTCAGGGTCCCTGCCAAGGGAATAGTGTCACTCACAATGGGAGGGTCTTTCCTCTTCAGTTAGCATAGTCAAGGTAAATAATATCTCACAGCTTAGTAGCTCATCACCACGGTGATTTGAGATTTTTTTTACCACGCTGACAATGAACACTGACCATTATACCAACTCTCAAAGAAGTAAAGAGGATTTCTCTTTCCTAGAGTAAGGAAATAAAGAGAATTTCTGTTTCCCAGGGTGATAAACACATATGAAATACAATTCATAGCTCAGACAAGATGTGTACTTGTCCTCGTTGATCACATTGGGTGCAGGGTCTTCAAAAGAGCTCACATGTTCTCACTCTCTCTTTCTCCATCTCTCTTTCCTGACCCATGTCCCTACTATCTCCCCCCCCATTGTCCTTTCTCATTGTTTCCATTCACCCCTTTAAAGTGTTGTTTCTGTATGCATGTCAATGTCATCCTCAAAGAATCAAATAACTCAGTGGTGTCTCTGTAAAGAATGCAAAAAAGGAGCTTTGTTAATAATCCCATAAGAGCTGCACGAGTCGGACACCATTTCTCATGTGAATTAAGCTCTCACCCTTACAAAACGCTATCAGCCAATAATTGCAGTTGAACTGACTTTAGTCTATTTATTCATTGTGTCCTTTTCCGTGCCATCATTTGTCATGTCAGAAAAGCAAATAGCACCCTGGGTGAAGGGAAAATGGATTAGCTACTGTGCACTAAATTTTGTCAACCCAAAATTCTTACATTGAAGCCTAATAATCCCCTGGTGCTTCAAAATTAGACTACATTTGGAAACAGAGTCTTTAAGGAGATAATGA